CGTTAACTATGGGTATAAAAATATTCAGGTGTTATGGAGTGATGCTTTCAACTTGAAATAAAAATGAAAGTTGTATAAAATAATCATACTAACCATACTCCATACTTTCGTACTAAAATCATAAATACGAAAGTTTAGATGGATGGATGATTGTTAGAGTTTGTAGCCTAAACGGCAGAACGGATCTCGATGAAATTTGACATAGAGGTAGAGAATAGTCTAGAAAAAACATAGGCTACTCACAGTTGTTTTTCTAATCCGAAAGGAACAAACAACACAACAGCAACCGAGCATAAGTCATTAACGGTTATTTAAGGAGACCGTAGCGACAAATATTATATTATTTACTCGTCTGTATTAATATTATAAAGGGGAAAGATTAATATTTATGGATTTTTGTATGTATTGAAATAATTCAAAAACTACTGGGCCGATTTTAAAAATTCTTTCACTATTGAAAAGCTACGTTATCAATGAGTAACATATGCTATTTTTATTATTGTTTTTTTTAATAAACGGAGCCAAAGTCGCGACCAACAGGCTAATTAAGTAAAATTAAACGCCTCGTTTTGTATTTAATATATAGTAAATATACAACTCTGTTATTTCTAAAACTATTCTAAATCAATAACAGTGGTAGTGCCCGCTTTAACATCTTAGCACGAATGGACCGGCACGCCCGGTGTAATACCACGACCACACAGAAGACAGGCGTGAAATGGAAGGAATTCCGTGTTTCGTCTGATGAGTGTGGTGCCGGAGGCCTAATTTAAGTCCCTTTCTCTTCACCACCCTTTTCTTATAAGAGGATGGGAAGAGGAAGTGGATTTGACGATGGAGGAGATGCATAGGAAGAGGAAATATCCTCCTTATGTGCGTCTCCTCCTCCGTCGGATAAGGGTAGGCGACGCATCTGCAATTGCAGATGTCTATGGGCAGCGGTCGCTTCGCCATTTTGGCGGATTCAGATGGCCGCTTGCTCGTTTGCCATCTTATGTTATAAAAAAAAATACATTTAGGTAATGATAGATTTAATTAAAGGAAACTGTATACTTATAATGTAGATTTGTCCTACATTTCCATTACATCGAACGATATATTAATCAACAATGTTCAACACAACTGTCTGTGTCGCACTAATTAGTTAATTACGATATCTTGTAATCCAACACCACTCAAATAACACTGACAGCCGAATACTGGAACGAAATTAAACTAGTTAAACATATTGGTATACTATTATAAAGAGAAAAGATTTTTTTTATTTACGTTTATATTTCATTCACGTAAAAACTGGGCTGATTTAAAAAAAATCACCACTAAAAAGCTACGTTATTAGTGAATAACATAGGCTATGTTTTGTATTTTTTTCGAAGTCGCGAGTAACACTATTGCCTTTGGTTCGTTGACTATGGCCTAGTCATCCCTAATTTGGGGTAGGCTGTGAGCCCCTCAGTGGGCACATATAGTGAGCTCGTGATGATGATGATGAAGAGCAACAGGTTAATTCTTAATAATTTAGATAACAATTTGAAATGATACCCTATCTCGTAACCTGAAATCTGAAATACGTACCTAATTTCATAGTGACGGTTACCCACCTTTCCGCTATTTAATTAACGGGCCGACTTCAGTATTGAAACGATTTTAAATAAGTGTGGCGCGATATTAATGAGGGTTGGCGGACTTAATTATTTCCAACGCCACCATTACGCAGGCCGCCGGCACGATTTGCGGCTGCCTTTGATTAACCAAACGTTAATAGAAGCAGTGTTTTCTAATATCCTAAGGCAATCTATATAGCAAAACAATGTTATCTTTAAAAGTATGTCTTGGAGTGATGTTTTAAAAAATGTTCATGTTACAAAAACAAACGAATTGGTTGATATTAAAAATTAATTTACGAACAATGAAGATTATTTATTTGATTTTGACAAAGCGCCATCTATAGGTTGATTTAAGAACTAATAAAACTTGTACAGTTATTACTTTTAATTTTAAGCAGTCAACAACAGATGGCGCTGATTGGAATAACATTATAAAACGTAAACCAATTTTTCAAAAGTTTTCTTATTGTAATATCTACCTTAAAAAATAACAATTATCTAACCTGATTATCATCGTCGCTTTGGAAGGTGGCCAGCCAAAAATCTTCAATATTCTCAGGATAATCACATTCCTTCTCAGGATCTGGACTTAAACAGGGTTTACGATCTCTAAACACTAAAATGAGTCCACCATCCTCTTCTTCTGGTCGCCAAGCACCACACATAGTCGCGACAGTTCGTTTCAAAGGACCATCATCAGTTAATTTAAGTTTTTTCGATGGCACTTCCTCACCCGCCATTACTGTGTCGCACTCAACTTTCGAAATAGAACCCGCCATTTTTTTAATGTTACGAGATATTTTAGTATCAACTATTCTAACGTTTGTTTGCAATTTCGTACAGATGTGTCTAATCATACGTACGAAAAATAAATATTTATTTAAGTGAGGTTATAAACACTTGTAAGTAAACAAAAGCAACCAATCGCGTTTATGCTTCTACAGAGCTTTAAAGCTAAATTATACTTTAACGATATTTCTGAAACTAGCAATGGAATCGGTTTTCAATAAAATTATATCAATTAACTGATATTTATAACGCAAAATTTCGAACTCCGTTAACACAAACTGGCAAAGACAAGAATCACAACCCTCGATTAGGAGAACAAATAATAATGAACTTGTAAAACACTGCAACTTAATTAAGAGAATTTAACACAGTATCCGTTATTCTTGCTGTATAGTTTATGTTATTAAATGCAAGACAAAACGTTTTAAGGTTATAATGCCGCTTCTTCCAATCAGCTGACAGAACTCGTGTTGTCGTTGATAGTGACATTGACAGTTTGTAGTGCTGCTATTATCCCTTGGGATGTGCTATATATCATGGTCCTTTTTTCTTTTACGTTTTTAATTTTTTTTACTTTTTAAAAAGTATTTGAAATAATTCTTTACATCTTAGGCATTTTTCTGTTAGTTTCTGTTTAAATGTGTAACAGCGCCATCTATATTGCTTGCTTATAACTTCTGCTAAATAATTTTTAAAGGTTCAATTTGTTTTATTACTTTATTTATTAGCTACACTTTTACGACTGGCACCTTATTACAAATAATGATTCATTGTAAAACGTTAATATTAATTTAAAGTTATAATGAAAAGCTAAATCTTATTACAAACACATGTAACATTATCAGCGTCATCAACAGTGAAGAATTTGTGAACTTTTGACCCAAAACTAACATAGATGGCGTTAGCAGTACGAATCGAAGCAAACATTTTAAAGAACGTTTTTAGATGGTATCAGCACTCATAACAAAACTTTTTGTGTTTTAATAAATAAATAAGCATCTCAAAGGAAATGTCTAAGAATCTAGTAAACTCCTAAATCCTGGTTCTTGGATAGACGATGGCTTCTACGTCCATAGACCACAGGCAATAGAATCAACCTACACGATGAAGAGATAACATTAAAAAAATATTTTGGTAAGTTCAGCACCTAAGGGCACCTTTACATTTAAATAAATTGTTTACAAAGACATCATGGGTCCATTCCCCTTACAAATTTAAATTTGTACAACAGATAGGGTTGACAAAAATCGAGTTTCTCATATTTTCTCTATCAACATTCGTTTGTTTTTACTAAATGTAAAAAGCTGTAATACCGCTGTAGATGATTGTAAACCTTAAAACTGTTAATCTAGAATGCAAAGGCGTTTCTATGAGCAGTTAAGAGGGTCAATCTAGCTATAAGGTAGTAAACTTTAAAATATATGCAAACTTCCTTAAATAAGACGACATTATTGGTAACCGTTTTGACCTAGCCTAGATTATTAGATGGAGACCCCATGAATGAATTATCTCAATTGTCAAAACATAAAAAAGACAAAACAATGTTGTTATTAATATTAGGGTTGTAACGGAGGCCATTTTAACGGAAGCGGATGCGGATGCGGAGGCGAAGGGCTTCACCTCTGCAAAAGCGGAGGTAAACGGAAGCGGAAGCGGAGGTCAACAATAACATATTAATTGCGATTTATTAAATAAATAAAAACTAAAAGTACGTTAATTCAAAATACAGATTGGTACGTAATTACAAGATACAGTTTATTATGAAAATATAATGTATAACAATTATAGTTAGTTGACATATCACCCACACGCGGGCCGCATAAACGATACGACGAAAACTAACCTCCGTTATAACTCCGCATAAAAATATAACAGAAGCGGATGCGGAAGTTCCGCACTTGCGGATGCGGAAGCGGAGTTCCGTTACAACCCTAATTGATATTACTTACATTATAATATTGTACAAAAACCCCTACGCAGTTTACCCCTTTTTAGTGCGTATGGTGATCGTCTACTGTTTTGTTTAAAAGTTGAAACACAACTTATAACCTTGAAAAAACTATTTCTAGTTGTTATGACATCAACAGAAAAAGTAATAAATCAAGTGATATCAAAAGACATTTATGATATACTAAAGTTTTATCTATAAGAATGTATAACATCTGGAAATACGAATAGAAATGGAATTTTATCATAACATGCAGAAATTCTGTAAATAAAATTTAGTATATAAGTCAACAATTATAAGAACTGAACATTACAATTTAGTTGAAAAGTACGTAGATATTTAAAATGTTAAAACTTTTAACGATTTCAATTTTCATTATTGTAGTTGGCGCGATCGGAATCGATCGTTTAGGAAAAGAATTTGTCGAACCGAGCAGCGTTGTTTACGATATAGAAAACTCTAGACAACTGTTCGCTGAATTCGTTGAGAAATATAACAAACAATATGAACGAGAAGAATATAATTATCGATATGAAATCTTCGTTAAAAACCTGGAAGATATAAATGAAAGGAACAAAAAAAGTAGCTCCGCCGTGTATGGTATCACAAAATTCGTTGATTTAACTCATGAGGAATTTATATCTCAGTATACTGGGATGGCTGTTAGTGGAAGAAGATCGGATAGTGATGACACGCCAGTAGATGTTGACACTCTTTTAGATAATATTGAGGCACCAGAAGAATTTGACTGGCGAGACAAAAATGTTGTGACTGATGTCAAAGATCAACAAGGTTGCGGTGCTTGTTGGGCGTTTAGTTCTACAGGTTTGTATATTAATTTTATGACTGTTTTCATATTATTTTAGGATTTTTTGACAGTGGTAGTGTCCGCTTTAACACAAATGGGCCGGCACGCCCGGTGTAATACCACGACCACACAGAAGACAGACGTGAAATGGAAGCAATTCCGTGTTTCGTCTGATCAGTGTGATGCCGGAGGCCTAATTTGGCTCCATTTCTCTTTACCACCCTTTTCTTATAAGCAGAGGATAGGAACGGGAAGTGGATTTGACGGTGGAGGAGATGCATAAGCAGGGGCAAAATCCTCTTTATGTGTGTCTCCTCCTCCGTCGGATAAGGGTAGGCAACGCATCTGCGATCGCGGATGTCTATGGGCAGCGGCTGCTTCGCCATTTTGGTGGATTCATTGGCCGCTTGCTCGTTATAAAAAACAGGTTCTTTGAAATAAATGGGAAATTAAAATGTAATAAAAACATGGATTATGTTTCTAACTAATAACGTAACTTTGTAAGATTTTTCGAAAAATCCAGTATCTCTTTATATATTAGTTCAGATAGCCCTATAATATGTCAAAGTGTAGGGCATCTTATTAAAGAAAATATTTAAATATATGTTGTGATGTAATTGCTGATGTCCTATACTACAAATTATTGTATTTACGCTTTATTACATTAGTATAGATATACATAGAAATGCTAGTAGATGAGAAGATAGGAGGTTTAATATCTCTTTGTATTTATCGTCCAGGTGCTGCAGAAGGCCAGTATGCTATAAAACATTCGGAATTGCTTTCTTTGTCAGAAAAGCAGCTGATTGACTGCTGGGATCAAAGCGGAGGTTGCACAGGCAATGCTCCAGATAGGGGACTTAAGTAAGAAAAATCAGGCATTCATTTATTTTAAAGTATTTGTTTCTTACCATCCTTTCCTCTTAAGAAAAGGGTGGCAAACGAAAGGTACTAAAATTAGGCCGCCGTTTTTTATCCCTTGTAGTTTGCCCCTTGATATACTCGTATCAAAGAATACATTTTAATTTTATTTTATTGGAATTTCTCTACAATAGTAAAGCGTATTTACATTCTCTGGTAAGCTTTCGTTTCTTACGGCCAATTTATCTGTCATTTTAGTCATTATCAACCTTGCTCTTGTCCCGCAGGGTCGGCATACTACATACTGTTACATGTTCTTCCTTACATCTCTATCAGCCGTAAGATCTGAATTAACTCCTTTAAACATATCCTTTTATGTTTTCATTTTAGTGCCGCAGCTAAAATGGGTGGTTTTATGTTGGAAAGGGATTATCCATACAAGCCAAGTCAAAATAAATGTTCGTTTCAAAAGAACAAAGTAGCAGTGCGAGTTAAGGGTGGGCGCACCGTGACAGTGGATGACGAGGAAAAACTCAAGGATTTGGTTTATCAGACAGGTCCTGTTTCGACTGGTAAGTTCACATATTTGAAAATAGTAATCAATTCAAAGCACCAATAGCGGTCTAGGGTTCGAATCCCGCCATTCGACTATTGTGAACCATATCCTAGCACAAGCCTAGAGCTTAGTTGGAATGGTTAATGGAAATTTTAGTAAATTAACAAAAATCTACCAATATTTTTATTAAAAAAATATTTTGCCAACCGTTTAAAGCTTGAATCTACTGTCTGATACCGTAATTGCACGTTGTCAAAATGTATGTAATGCAGTTAAGGGATTTGTCTGAGACAGAAAAGATGGCCTGTCCCACCACTGGCTGATATAGGCTCAGATAGCTTAAAAGTGACGTCACTGTCAGATTGAGTACCAAAATCCGTTATTTCCATCACATACTTTTTACGTTGAATTATCTGACAATTTACAAGAATTGTGGAACAAGCCCTAAGTCACCAGATTTACAGAAAGAAGAATCGCATATGACAAGAGAACTTAAGCTATGTGTGGAGGTAAACCGATAGAGGTAGAGGTAGAAAGAGACGAATGGATTGCGTGAATGGTGATCAAAAAGGGAGTGACGACTGAGATGGCGGAAATCAGATTAATAGATAAATCCAAAAAGGAGTAAAATAATTGGAGTGTTAATAATAAGTATTAAGAATGAATAGAAGAATGTGGATGGCTACAGAGGAAGAGGAAAACCGAAGAAAGTATGGATGCATTGTGTGGAAGAAGATATGCTTAAGAAGGGAGTGGATTCAGATATGACGGCTGATAGAGATGTATGGAAGAGCAGCACATACTGTGACGACCCTCCGTAAGGGATAAAGGCAAGTTGATGATAAGTAGAATAATAGGAGTAGGTGTAGAAAATAAGGAGGTGGAGATGATCAGGAGGCAGATTAAGGCGAGTTTAATATTTCAATAATAATAAAAATAAAACGTTTCTTTATTATATTACCTAAAATTTAATGTTAACATTATTACAGTAACATGCATGAACATTTTGTATTATACCCGTTAGTTTAAAGTGTTTCCTTAAGCCAGTTACTTTTGTCAGGGTTCTACGCGAACAAAGAGTTTAGCTCGTACAGAGGTCAAATGTACGACGGTAAAGGTTGTCCGAAAGGAAAGAAACCCAACCACGCTATGCTCATCGTAGGTTATGGTGTTGGTATGTATTTTATATTTAGTTTTAAAACCAACTGTTTTATTGTCTATACTAATATTACAAAGAAGAATGATTGTTTGCATTGAATACGGGCTTAAACTACATAACCGATTCAAAAAGAATCCAATTAGAAATGTACATTATCACTTAGTGAATAAGGTATATTTTACATCAGTTATCAATGGCAAGGATATGAAGAAACAGGAACCATGTGAGACGTATACTCGGTTTGAATCGGTAGTTTTGTTCTTGGTCTAAAAGCTGGTTATATGATGTTAGTTAGATATTAACAGAAGACACAATTTGGAAAAATAGATCAAAGGATATCTGAAAGACTTTGAAGAACGAGGAAAAGATGGGCGACCACGGCTAGAAATATAAGTATGGAAGAGTTGATCTTAACAAGTGTGTCATTACAGAGAACGGAACGCCATATTGGATGATAAAGAACTCTTATAACGTTCATTGGGGAGCTAACGGATACCTGAAGCTAATTAGAGGCGTAAATGCTTGTTCTCTTTTAAATTATACTGCTGTAGCTGAAGTCGAATGAGGTAATATGATATATGTATGAAAATATTCCAATCTGATATTATATTATATAGAAATGTGTGAAAATAAATAAATCGTTTGAAATGTATAATGTTATTTTACTTAATTATTTTATTAAACTTTGATAATAGATGTCGCTATTGCAACTTGTAATGGTTAAAACCGGAGTTGACCCAACCACGTAATACAGAGCCTTTCTTATGTTTATTTGTTGGACTATTCAAAGTAATCGTTCTTGTATTATAAATGCGAAAATTTAGATGGATGTTTGCTAGAGTTTGGAGTCTAAACGGCTGAACAGATTTCGATGAAATTTAGTATAGATGTAGAGGATAGTCAGAAAGAACATATCTACTCACTTTTGTTTTTATTAATTCAGACAGAGTGGCGGGAGAAAGCTAGTTATTACATATTAAGTGACGTAAAGAAGAAAAATAGCATTAAATAAACAATATATCGTATGTTGTAACGTGATACTTATTCATTAGCCGGTGAGAAATGTGTTGGTCTGTCTGCAACGTACACTCAGGCGATTGGGCCGTCATAATCACAAGATAAGCGTCCACCACATCTGTAAACTATCATATAAATGATCCGCTGACGTGTGACAAATGGACACAACTTAATAGTCCATTGTAGTAGATCTTGTGTGGCCAAAGAGTTAGCGTTACGAAACTCCACTATCGTTCCACTTGTATTGTTGTCCTTTTTGTACCAAAGGGAATGAGTAAAATGACAGTATGTATTACTATATTATGTTTAGAAAACTACTATTAGAAATGTAGCAAATATATGATATCACTTTGGACTGCTGTCAATTGCGTTTTAACTTCAACTTTAAAAATCTTTAGTGTCTATTAACTATTATCGAGTTTGCTCGTTTCCATAAATAAGTATTTAATAAAGTAATTGTTGCTATATCAGACTCTATTTAGTTTCCTATCGTTTTCTTCATACTAAAACACTCCATTTGAGACTACATAATTAATTTTAGTCAGTAAGTAGTATGTAAAGTAAAACTGGTTTTATTGGCATTTAATTGTAACTTGGAAATCTGATGCCACTAATCGGATTTTGTATTTTTCGAATTATATTTGAATAGTTTATTTTTTCTTAAGTCGCTGGTTTCATGGCCGAAACAAAAGAAATGCGTGCTCGCGAAAAACGTCAGAGAACAGTTGTATTAGCGGAGGTTTTCACCGCCATATGTCACAGACAATCCTTGTGCCATTGCAGTACTGAACATTGTCACCTTCGCTTCAGATTAATGTCATGAAATTGTTTCCAAGTAGATTTTAACGACCACTTTAGTTTTCTTTCTAGTATTAAGTGTACAATTGTTATTTCTCAAGAAAAACGGAATGGAGTTTTTGTTTGTTTTACTTTCTTCAAATGTAACCTTTAGTTAAACAATTTATAATTTTTAACCGTTTGTCTATACTTATTATAAAGAGGAAATATTTGTATTTTTGTCTGTATTGAAATAACTCAAAAACTTTTGGCCCGATTTTTAAAATTCTTTTATCGTTAGAAAGGTAACTTATCTGTGAGAAACATAGGCTACTTTTTTTACTTTCAAGCAGGCAAAGTCACGAGCATTAGGTAATTATATTGAACATGAACCATTCAATAATTCCGTTTGTTAAATGCGTGTCTGTTGGCTACTCGTAGTACTGTAGATAAACAGAACAATAAGTGAGACTACGTAACGGGCGGGCAACTTTCGGCATGTCCGTCAGAATTAGCGTCCGGCTTTAACTATCGGCCCGGGGCCCACCTCAACCATAAATTAGATGCTGCTTGAGCGGTACAAGGGTTGACTTTGTTTCCATTGTTGTATAGCTTTTAAATTATCGTGTTAGATAGGCATCTAACTACGGCTAAACGGATCTGGGTGAAATTCGGCATAGTTTTAGAACAGAGTCTAGAATAACACATAGGCTACTTACTTTTGTTTTCTTTTTTATTTCCACGCGGACGAGGTCGCTGGCGAAAGCTAGTATGTACATAACTTAAGTAACTATGATATATTTTCGAGTACTTGTATGCAGATAGAAAACACCTTTTAAAAATCTTAAGTATAATAAATACCATAAAAATTATTGAATCAAAGATTAAAAGTATTATTTTTTAATTTAGGCTCTGTTTGCGTTTGAAGTGTAAAACAAAAATTGTAACAAAACAATTTGTTTGTAAACTTTTAATATGAATTTAACTCTTCAAATAAATTTAGTTGTTGCTCACTTAAATGTATATTTTAGTAAGATATACTTGTACATTATATTCACTTAGATACAGTTCGTGTAGTAATACCGTATGACAATGGAAACTCGGCATAAAGCATGGGCCATAGACTTTTAATCAATCTGCACGAGCGGTGCGGGACTGCAAAAATGGCGGCAGGTTAGTTTGTGGCTCGGCTTAATTAAAACCATAAGGAAAACTGTCTGTCCGTCGGTTGGTTTCATATATCCCTGACACTTTTTTGAAGGTTTTTTGGAATTGCTGCTAACTCTTATTAACCTAGTTAGGATAAATTAATTGGCTATCACGTTATATAGCCGTTATACAGGCAGATATTCAAACAAAGCTAAAATTCCACTAAAGTTTGGATGTCTGACTGGAAACGACGCTTAAGGGAAATGTTTGTGATGTTTCAAAATTCACCCGATAGATTCAATTAGTTCGCACGTGATTTCTTTAAAAAAATATTTAATTGAATAACGTAAGTACATAATTAGAAAAGTGTTTCTTGGGCCAGTAACTCAGAATAAAACATCAGAATAAACACACATAAGTAAAACAACTTCAAAACAATAAACGGTTATAACGGAAATTCTCACTCGGGTCATTTCTCAATTCCAAAACCCTGTCCAATCTAGACAATATTCGGTACATAGAGAATGATATTCAAAACAATCCGCAGCGAAAAACCGATCTCCCAGCCCCGCGGGGGTCGTTCCGGCTTTACTTTTTCACATTATACCCGGGGTCGGGAACGGTGCATATCCATTACGTAAGTGTTTATACTTAACCCCGCGTTCGTGTACTCCACATATTGCCTTACCATATTACCTGTGGACTTTAATAACGGCCCCGCGGAGTTTCTCCAATTGAATCTTTAATTTGTTCGCTACCGAATTCACTTTTCAATCTGTTAGAATCAAACTGTATAAAGTATATTTTTCTTTTAATTTACTCAATTATAAAGTGAGACAGAGATTTGGATGCGTTTTAGTTAAGTACCTTTATAGATACACTTATTGTCGCCCGGGGCTCCGCCTGCGTGGAGTTAAAATCTTTATTAAGCCTGGGTTCTTTTTTACGATTAATTTTAATAGCCTGTTGAGCCGTTCTGGTAACGTATTAAACATACATACATTCATTTTAATTATATTAGTATGAAGTTAAGTTAAGATCTTGAGTTATGGCTGCGAGACCTGGACACTTACGCTAAAAGAAGAAGTTACTAGTAGCGGAGAGAAAGATTATGCGGACGATTCTGGGTCCGACACAGAGAGAAGACGGGAGCTGGCGGGCACGGTAGTAGAAGAAAGAAGACTATATGCTACTCTATGGTAATTTATATGAAAATAACAAATATTGGTTTATTTAGTATGATGTAAAGAAAAATAAAATGTGCGTTTGATATCAAAATGTCTGTCCCCTTTAACAACATTTGTGCCGATTTGAATCTCAAAAGATTTCGATTTTAAGTTTCCTTGCCTCTAGCGTTTTCGTATAACGCAAGTATTAATAATAAACTCTGTTAAGTTACGGATTGCCCAACTTATATACTTCAAAGGTTAAACCGTAAAATCAATAAATAGGAAATAAACTACATCAAAGAATATTTTGTTTTTACTAAACATTACTAAAGAGTCATTTATATCTTAGCAGCTTCATATAATTTAAACAGCTAAACCGTACCGTAGTACCATCTTCAAGTTTGCTAAATGCTTGTTAATCATCTACAATATGCAGTTTGCTAACAATTCGTGTTCGCTTAACGTTCGATTACATCGGGTATCGTTGCTCTAATTATAATTGCTGTCGGTTTGTCCTCGCGTCCTGATTATGCCCGTTTCCCGGGGATTTGTTATGACCGCGCTAATTGCTCGCATCCCGGTCGAGGTTCGTTCCTTCCTCATTAGCGAACGATTGGGCGCGGGTGACGTCACGCCGCTGATACGTTCGACCGCCTGAAAGTCATATGCGCCTGGTACGTGCATCAAACCAACACTTAATTTAGATTAATTAAAGTGTACTGATAATTTTTATACTAAAAAGGTTTTTATCGCCCAAGCGACTAAACCTCAAAAAAAACTCATATTATATAGAAATGATTATCAAAGCTGTTTTTTATTTATGTATAAATACAACGTTAACAAGTAATAACAACCTAAAAGCCTCATAAGTTTCTTTAAGAGCGCGTACAACTTCGTCTAATTTATCGCACAACTGCTTAGTTGCACTTTGATTCCTATGAGCTTGTAACCACACTACTCGATTTTAGTTGTGCAACTAAACTGCTAAATAGACTGCGAAACAATCGACAATCGCGGAACAGTTGTGCGATAGTTTAGTGAAAGATGTGTGCCCGCTCTAAAGAACCTTTAGTCAGTCACGAACACAGACGTACAGTACCTAATCTCTCGATATTTTACAGGGTTCATTTTGAAGAGTGTGCGCAAGAACTCCACGATATAATTCCGCCATCCCCATTCTACCATCGGACATTCAGACATACGGCCGGAACCCATCCTTTTGCAGTTGATATTCCGCGAGTTCGAACAAAGAAGTTTGAGTCATCGTTCCTTGTGCGTACTGCGGAGGTTTGGAATAAGTTGCCAGCGTCGGTTTTTCCGTCCAGATATGACGTGGGGGCCTTCAAGAAAAGAGTGAATGCGTATTTATTAGGGTAGCGCGTACCATCTTTCGACCAAATCTTCACTCTCAGTCGGTGGGATGGTGGTCAAGCGCTAGCTTAAAAACTTAAAA